TCACTGGTGCCCCCCGGTGACTTTCCCCCCATCACCAGACCAGGCCTTAGGTTAGCTAGGGTAGAGAAGATTGGATGGGACGCTGGACCCGATTTCCAGCCCAGTGGCGCCATGGCCTAAGATGTTAAACTCCAATCGACTCAAGGATGTATTTATGGGACGCTGGACCTGGTTTCCAGCAGGTGATGCTCCCCACCAATAGACGGAGTGGCTCACTAGGCAAAGCCTCAATCCCGATGCTTCTCTTACCACCACTGGGATAGAGGCCTTGCACAAGGGCCTTTAAAAAAAAAAGAAAAAAAAAAAGAAGTTGATGCTGTTTAATTCTAAGTATAAGTTTCTTATAATCTCTACCTTCTGTCTGATCGTTCTAAATAAATCCATAATTCTGAAATTCGTATGTCTTATGCTAAATGCTTCTCAAACTGAGGTTTGAGATTCTATTTCGAAAATCCTTTTTGGATATCTAAACCTAAATCCGAATGGTTTTCTTTAAATGCACATGTCTAAATCCTTTTCTAATCGATTCCCCTTTTTTGAAAGGATTTCGATTGATTTTCTAAATTTTCGATTCGAGGTTAAAATCCAAGAGGTAGGTCCTTTGGTTTTGGATTTCTTGTTTCCGTGTAATGATTTGGATAAATTTCATTTTTCAATTTCAGTTCAAAATGAGCATGCAGGGGAGTAGATGATTCTAATTTTCGTTTAGTGATGGAAGGTGGTTTTTCAGGTTTGTCCTTAGGGGGCTGTCCCATATGGAGAGGGTTGGGATGGAGGTTGGGAGAACCATTGTTCTGGGGGGACTGACTTTTGGTGGGAACTGCTCGTTCTTGAGGGAGTGGTGGTCCATTAGGGGGTTTGTCCTGAGCTGGGGTCAATAAGGGGAACGGGTCGGCCCTTGACGGGGGCGACTCAAGGACAGAAGGGAAGTTTTCTTCTGATTAGAAGTGAGGGAAAATTTGTTTCTCTGCACGATGGAGAAGTGTTGTCATCTCTTTTTCCCTCTGCGTCGTTGAGAGAAGGGGTGGAGGGATGAGGTGGTTTTAGGGTTGTCCTCGAGGGACTTTTCCAATATGGAGAGGGTTGGGAGAGGGGTTGGGGGACCATCGTTCTGTTGGGACAGACTTTTGGTGGGAACTGCTTGTTTTTAGGGAGCGGTGGTCTGTTACGGGGCTTGTCCCGAGTTGGGGTCATTGAGGAGAATGGGGCTCCTCTCGACGGGGGCAACTCAAGGATAGGAGGGTGAGGGATTTTCGTAAGAATGAGGGCAATGCTAATTCTCTTCACAGCGGAGAGGTGTTGTCTTCTACTTTCCCTTGTGTGTTGTGGAGAGAGCAGGAGGGTAGTTTCAAAGATTTTCTTCTACTCCTTTAGGATTTCCTTTTTTCCAAGAGGTTAGAGTTTTCAACAGGGGCCCTATGGGATGACCAAGTGGAGCATCCTGTAGTTTTGGGGGGATTTGTTTGAAGTAGGGGGCAAGAGGCATGAAATGATTCTTCGCAAGGACGGAGAGGGGGATGGAATATGACTGCTTGACGGGTATCGGCTAGGGGGAGTTTTTATCAGATGCGGTTGGCGTTGGGTAGTTTAGGCTGTCTGATGGGTACCGGCTGATGAGGGTGAACTTTGGCGCGATTGGCGTTGGGTGGCGCTGGTCGACCTCCTTGAGGACGGAGACCGTGACTGGAATTCTTGTGGGGCCAAGGAATTTCAGGGTGATGATGGTGCTCGCCCCCTGCTAAAATGAGGACCTCTGGATTTCTTCACGACGACGAAGTTTGGGATGGCGGATGAGATTTGGATGGAGGAAATGCGATTGGCGCCGAGTATCTCGACGGGTACTGGCCACTAGCCACTAACTTCACTTGGATCAGCTTGAGGTTCTTCCTTTCGGTGATGGAGACAGGACTGTTCTAGTAAAAAAAAAAAAAAGGTGAGTGGGAGAAGAAGATGGTGGGATATCAAGCGTCCTACTACTGAGAGGGCTAGCTCATAGGATGGAAATAGGGCACAGCAGCAACGGAGATGGTGGCTCTGCTGCAGTAAGTCTTGTCGGAGTGAGGTAAAAGAGGATTGATGAGGGTCTGGGTTTCTGTGTCACTTTCTGAATTTTGCCTATTTCTGAAGTTTGTCATAGTAATTTTCTAAGTAGCTCAAATTGTTCCTAGCCAAAGCCAGGTAATGGCCCCGGTATCTCAAACTTTCAAAATTCTATGTAAATTTCCATATGGGATGCTGGGCCCAATTCCCAGCACGTACTTCTCCCCACGAATAGATTGTTGCCTTGTTCCCATTAAAAAAAACAATAATAAAATCCGGGAGTCCCACTGAAGGCGTTGTTATTTTTCGGCAGTGGAAAAATTTCGGCGGAATTGAAGGCCTGGTTGTGGCGGGGGTAGGATCAGTTCTGAGGTTTGATCATCGGGTGGCAAGGATTGGATGTTTAAGCGGTTGTCGATTTGCCCCCCTCCCCCCCCCCTCCCCCCGCCTCCCCACGTTTCGACGAAGTTAAAGGCGAGGTTTCGGTGGGGGTAGGATCAGTTGCCGGGAGCGTTTCTACGGCTTTCGATGATAGAAGGAAGCAAACAAACGATTTGCAACCCCCCCCCCCCATGTGTCCACGGGGTTGGAGGTCGTCTCGAGCCGGGGGTAGGGTGAGTTTTTCGGTCCCGACGGTTGTGACGTGGCGGGCATAGGGGCGGTGATTTTGGCATGCTGGTCAGGTGGCCAGTCCTCTTCACGGCTTGAAGACCCCCCTGATCAGGAGGCTGCTCTACACCGGTGAGGGTCTGCTCACACAGCACACCCTGGATCCACAATACTGCTGCTAGGGGCTGATCTAGATCTGAGCCCCCTCCCTCCTCCAGCTGTCTTGCTGCAGTGAAGGCCAAGACCTTCCTGGTCCTGGTATACCTTATGCCCTTGGAGACACGAAGGGCCAGGTATCACCTCCCTCTTCCCTCCTCACCTCCCTCCTCTCGCCCATCGAGGCGCAACTAGCGACCCTTGTGCCCTTATAGGCGCATGTGGCAACTTTTGCCGCTGGCATGCGGCAACTCCAGGATGCTGCCTGTCTTTCCTCTCCTAATCCTCTCTCTTCTCCTGGCTCCCAGTCCGCGTCTCCATTCCTCCCACGTGGTGGCCACGGCGGAACTTCCTCCTCCGCTGCCCCGGACCCGATCATCCTGGTGACTGTCCGTGCTCTTAGTGCGACGACAGCCACAGGCCAGGCCTCTCCTCATCTACGGGCGCACCCACCCAGACTCTGGTCACTATGACCACGAGACCACAAACCTCTGCTGCGGTATCAGCTTTTCCAGGTGCCCCGCTTCTCCCTCCCCATCGCACGACCGCAGCGCCATCTGGCTCTCCCCTTTGTGGGATGCCTCGCATTGCTCATGCGTCTGCTTCCCCCTCTCCTCCTCCTACCACTCCTTGCTCGATCTACGTTCAACGTCTCGAGGCCGAGCTTGCCCAAACTCGAGCCGACCTCGCCCTCTTACGCCTTCAACCACCCCTACCCTCACAGGTGGCCGCGCCTTCGGGCACACCCCCTTCTTCCTCTACTTTTCCATCCATGCAGGCTCACTTCCCTTGCCCTGCACCCCTTTCACCCCCATCCTACCTCCTTCCTACTCCATCGGTTGCTGCAACCTTTTCTACCGCAGCTCCCGCATAGCCTACCGTTGTTCTCCCCACCGCTGCTAGCGCTACACCATGTGGCTCGGGCGTACAGTTAGTTGCGCCCCCTTCTCAAGAAATTGCGCCGACTTACTCGGTCGTTGCGCATGCCTCTGGTCCTCGATCTGCTCACCGTCAAAACGGTGGCGCACCACTCGTCCGCTTGAAATACACTTGTTCCAGCCTTGTTTTGACTTCTGGTCCGTGCCGCCTGTGGCACTCTTCCATGCGACGTGGGGGGCCTATAGGGCATTCCCGACCTAGGGCCTGGTCCCACAGTCGCAACCCTCCGGTACCCCTGTTGTCCCGACGACGATTCGGGCCCGGACTCATAGAGGAAGACTCCAGGGAGGTTGACCTTCCACTCCTGGGTCTCATCACACAAACTCTTTAACTTTTGTTGGTACCTATCCACCTTCCCCAGCAAGTCCTCCATCTTCTCCAGGATGGTTACAGTCGACTCTCCCTCCTCTCTCATCTCCTCATCATCCGACTCAACGACTATCGGCTCTTCCTTTATGGTCCTTGTCTTTAGTCACTGAGTCACCTCCTTGTTCTCTCCCACAATCTCCTCGACCTCTCTTTCCTGTCACATTCTGAACATTGTCGGGGGTGTTGGCCCTGCCACCGCCCGCCTCTGGGCCTCTTGCCTGACTCCGCCTGGAGTCTTTGGTTCAATATACTTCCCGAATTTATCATATATATCCCCGTCCATATTGGTGGAAATCAACCCGGAGATCTTATCGTCCCGCCGCCCTTGGCAAAACCGTATGGTGTGGCCTTGATAGCCACAATGCCGACAAATGGCATTCCACCAATCGAAGCGGGGCCTTCCATACCCTTGGCCCCCTTCCTGACCACCTTGGCCTCCTTGGTCCTGGCCCCCTTGGTTATTCCATCCACCGTCACGACCCCCGCCGTTCCTTCCTTGGCCTGGCCACCGCCTCCTCGACCTCCATTGCCCTGCCCGCCTTGCCCTTGGTTCCCTCCTCCAGCCACGCTGGCCTGCGATACCTGCTGCGAGGGTGGAGGTTGGGCCGTCAATTGGCCCTGGGCTGTTGGGAAACTTGGTGGTCCCGCACTCGCCAGTGGACCTGAATAGGGGACCATCGTCCCTGGGGGAACTTGGCCCCCTCCCCATGAGTTGCATTGATTATATGGGGGTCAGGGCGCCATTAGGGAAATAGGGCAGCCAGTGTCCATATATTCCCGGTGACCCCATCAACGAGGGTCCTGCTGACATAGAGGTACTTGCGGCAGCGGCCAGTGGCGTCACGATCGTCTGTGGTACCCGCCCCTTTCCAGAGCCCTGCCCGCCTATCAATAGATTGCGCTGTTTACCCGTTTCCTCCCCACCGTAGTCCTCGCGTCCGGTCTCCTAGTCCACCACCTCTGACATCCGACCTTGGACCACGGTCACCACCTTTTTCTGCATCTCGGCATCCTTGTCGTAACCAAACTCTGCTAGCACGTCCGTGATGATCTTCTTTACTTCCGGGGTCCCAGATGCGGCGGTGTCCCTTTTCTTCCTCTTCCGCTTCTGCAGGCGCATTTGGTGCTGCTCTACCTGGTCCAAGCTTCCATCCTCCACTCCCTTATCAATAGTAGCCCATGTGAGCTTCGCACTTCCTCCCCAATGGCTTGTAAGCTCTGAAGCTTCTGAGGCGGTGAGCAGCCCCAAAAAGATAGCGCATTGTGCTTCTTCAGAAATCCCATGCACTTTCCTCGCCTTTTTCTTAAACTCTTGCACAGACGCCCCGATTGTGGTGAAGTCGTCCTTGTTCATGACTTCCAAATCTGCCGTAGTTAGCAGACCATCACCCAGTTTCCTCGCCTTTTTCTTAAACTCTTGCACAAACGCCCCGATTGTGGTGAAGTCGTCCTTGTTCATGACTTCCAAATCTGTTGTAGTTAGCAGACCATCACCCAGTCTGTACTTCTTTTGCATCCCATCCCTAAACCTTGCCCAACTACCATTTGCGACCTCCACAACCTTACCCACTTCCTGATGATGCCCATGAAGGACGAACCTCAAAATTCGCTGGAACTTTACTTCATCTGACAACCCTACCAGCGCCTGCTCAACCAGATTTAACCAATCGGATACCCGCTCTCCATTGAAGTGGAACGTATCAACCTTCGGAACATTAGTTGGCCCCCTTTCTCGCCTGTCCAAAGCTTCGATAAAATCGTCAAGCGTCAGGACCTTTCCTGAACCGTCGCCCACACCTCCCGTCATCTTGGCCGGCTGCTCCTTTCTTAACTTCCCTATTATAAGAAAAAATAGAAAATTTTACTCAGCAGCCTGACTTATCATACTTCTATCAGGCTCCCTGTATCACTCTTACACACCATAGGCCTAACAGACACTACCTCTACTTCTTGGCTTACCCTGATAGAGTCTGCTCCCACCATAGGACTTCCTTTACAATCCTTCCAACCATACAATCAATCAAGCTACCAATCAGAGTCACTAACAATCAAATCCTACGCACATAACCACGCAAGGCACCATATAGTCCATCTCACGGGCCTATCCATATCTTCATTATATGCCTAATTCTCTCTCGATCAAATACCCGGATGTCGTTCCACCAGGGATAACGGTAGATTTCCGTTATCCTCGGCAACAACGCCACCTGTCAAGCGCATCGGTCTGGCACCGCACAAGGCAGCGCGGGACCCTCCCGGCCGCGTCACGCAGAAGCTGGCCTAAATTCTCGTCGTGAATATACATGGAGTTTCCGCAAGCCGCTCCGGCCGAGTGCGCCAGCCATAACTCTCGCGAGCTCCTACGACAGGATATGGCCTACGCGAGGCATGACTCAGCTCCACCTTACGGGAGCTGTCACCTCCCTTCGGTGGGCGTATCCCCGCCGAGCTACCAGTCTACAGTACGAAAGTTAATCAGTTGCAATCGAAGAGGTGGACCAGCCGAGGGCGGTTGTCATTCGCTGTAGCATAGTAGGGGGTACGAGCGGTAATACACCTCTATCGGACCCGTACGCGAACCGACATCTTGGGGGGCTGAGGTCCCAAGCGCGACTCGTTGTCGGTCGACTAGGACACGTCCCACAGGCCACGCGCGCACCAGTTTAAAAAACATATAAAAAATAAAAAACACGCACACGTACATATATACGAACGACACAAAACAAACAAAGCGACCACGCTCCTAGTCCCTCGGTAGCTAACCCATAACTCTCTGATGCGGAATTCAGATAAGCGTCGCGCGCGAGACTTAGTATAAAACCGTGCCGAACGCATGGCCTACTCATATCGACTCGCAATGCAAGCGTGCACAAACAGTCGCAATGATGACGTACTATGTAGTGCCCATAATCAGGCGGTCCCTCGTGGATCCGAGTACCGCTTATGACACTAAAGTGTCAGACTCGAAGTATCGTGATATCTAATCTCTCATGATATTGCATGGCTGAAGGAATAGCCGTGCGCCCGCCGTGAGACCTCCGACCTTGGGCGTGAGTGTCTTGACAGGCAGGGCAAATAGGCTCTGCGCGGGGGAAAATTCCTTCCATGCAGAGTCTAGGGCTTGGGATGTCTTGGACAAGAACCTCGAATCCCGTCTCAGGACCAACGTCCGACTAATAAATTATTAAAAAATGTACAATCAATAGAGGGGTTTTTCTTTATTTTCTGAACCTCAACCCCTATCAAATCCTTAATACACGGGCTCCTCAAGCCACGGGAACTCCCAACATAGGTATACATATATTTTTATATGTATATAAGGGGGATAAGTATGTGACAATCACTTCTCACAATCACAGTGGGACTCCTCAAAACCATATATATATATATATATATGTGTGTGTGTGTAAGCTTATAAGCGCACAAGGAATAATCTTCATATCATGTTCTTACAAAAATCCTCCTGATAAATAAGTCTAGGTCTACCTCTGCGCACATGCCCAGGAGAAAGGCAAACCTTTCAACAGAAAAATTCCCACGAGAAATGAAAGTTGAAAAAACATTCCGTAAAAAAAAAAACCTTCATATTTATAAATTATCATTCCAATGTTCGTCCAATTCTAAAATTTCCAATTTAATTTGACAAGTTTCCGTCTAAATATGAGCTTTCCCTTCCAACTACATCTATTTGTTCAAAATGGAATGAAAGTCTGGACGAGTTTATGAAATGTTTTAATTAGATTGTCATTCTACTACAATAAATATCTTCTAATTTATATTGGATTAACCTATTTATGACTGGAAATCCTTACTTAGAATGACAGTCCAATTAAAATACTTCATGAACTCATCCAGACTTTCATTCCATCTCTAGCATACAGTTCGAATAAGAAGGGATACCTCATTCTTGGAAGGAAAGTTTTCAAGTAAGATGAAAATTTTTAAAATTGGAATGACATTTTTTCAGATGGAATGAAAATTTGAAATGTAGAATGTAATTTTACTCTAGACTGATTATTTAATTCTGGAAAATCCTCCCTATCCATAGTGGATCGCCAGAATCGCCTGTCGAAATGTAATCTAACTCCTCTTAAACTAGGAAAATTTTGGAAGCGCTTCTCGTAGGAAAAATGCCTTTTCAAAATTTATACAAGTCCGAATATGGAACCTGGAAATAAATTATAACTCCTAAAAGTTAAATTTTGTCTAACTCCCTGAATTAACAAAAATTTGGGCAGCATCTCCTTTAGAAAGGTTGGCTTCCCAGAATTATACTAAGTCAGGTATAAACTCAAAAAACAACTTGAGTTCTGCTAAGACAAAATTTGACTAACTCTTCAGATTTGTAGAAATTTCGGCAGCACTCTCTCTAGAAAAGTGTCTTTCCAAAATTCATACAAAGCTAAATCCAGAATCTAAAATAATACTAACTTTCAAAAGTCAAGGTTTTGTCTAACTCCCTGAATTAGTAAAATTTTGGCAGCACTTCCCATAGAAAAGAAGGTTTCCTAGATTCTTACTAAGTCAGATACATAACTCAGACAAAAGACCCAACTTCTGAAAGTCATATTTGACTAACTTTTTGGTTTTGCAGAAACTTTGACACTGTTTCCCGTAGGGAAAGTCACTTTCCAAGATTTATACAAAGCCAAGTATAAAAAAGTGATCCCAGAAAATGCGAGAATTGACTAAGTAAAAATAGACTCAGCTCAGAATATGCAAAAATCAAAACTAACTTCTATGGCTCTAGCACGTGGCGAGCAGCTAAAGCAACTACCTATCAAACTGAAACTCAGTCTAAGTAGTAGCCTCACTCAGTCACATGTAGGCCAAATCACAAAGGTAAGTACTCTCCCCATCCCAAGGTCAACCATGTTAAACAATAGTTCGTAATCTTTCAATGATTTATCCCTTTATACCCAGCTTACATAAGGCGTAAAGTCAGGCCACCCAAACTTATGGGACATGCCTGACCCAGCCATTGAGTATACACAAAACATAGGGCACAACTACTTTTCTCTTCTTTGGGCATGTAGGCCACCATAGTCGCCCTGAACTGTTTAAGTATCCCAACTTTATATAATTATCTCGACTTAGTCTTATAAGGCAGCATATGACTGAACCCATCAACTTAGTTCGAGGTCCAGCCTGCCCCTTCTTACATCAGTTTACTCTTAATTAGTACTCTCTTCAATTATGATAAGCTATAGCCAGGCCACCCAAACTTATGAGACCCTGCCTGACTAGCCTGTTCTTAAGTAAAATAGTAATAAAATATAGCCAAATTATAGTCTTTGGGTTCCAACATGTGCGAGGCATTGGACCAGACCACCCAAACTTATGGGACATGCCTTGTCCTCAGCCAAAAAATCCCCTCAGAAACAAAGCAGGAAGAGGCTGAGTCACCCAAACTTATGAGAAATGCTCAGACCTTCTCGTTCAGAACCAAAGAAAACAAAAGAAACCCGAAGTAAACAAGGTCACCAAACCACCCAAACTTATGGGACATGCTTGGTTTCTGAAAAGTCAACCACAGACAACCCTCACAAGTCAGAGCAATCAGACCACCCAAACTTATGGGACATGTCTGGTTCTCCAAGTAATTCCCAAATAAAACACAGGGTCGGGTCTCCCCAAACTTATGGGGACTTCCCAACCTTAAACGACCCCGCAAAACATCAGACAAAACTGCCTTCCTCCCAACCTCCCCCCAGATGCAATCCCCGTCGTTCGGAATCTGCTTTCAGACAGTCAACAAAACTGAAACTTCAATTGCACATACATTCCTTTACTTAGTCTGATTCATGTCCTGAAGGTTAACTCAAAGTCAAAGTAGGATACAGGCAGGGTTGTCGAGGCCCGGCACCGGGGCCCCGGCGGGATGCAGGGGTGGGCACCCCTAACCCTGGCTCCGAACTCMCCCCCCCCCCCCCCCAAAAAAAAACAAAAACAAAAAAACAAACAGGGGGGTGCGCAGCGGCAGCCTGCACCCCCTGGGCCGAACTGCAAAAACGTAGTTTTGGCCCCACCTCGGACCCCCCCGGGGGCTACACCCACCCCTGGTGAGCCCGGGGTGGCCCTAGGTGCGGGGCCGGGGCGGGGC